ACGGACTCCTGCGTATTCCGCTAATTACCTATCACACGCGATTTCCCGGCCGCGACACGGGAGCGCCGGGAGAAACGACGACGTCGCGATTTCGATTCTTGGCGGGGCTTCGACCGGCAGAGTTCCCTGTTCAGCGTGATTTCGATGGGGTGTACTTGATTTTCGAAATTCGCCCGCGTTTAACCCTTTGCGCTCGAGGGGCGGCTCTCAGGCGCCACCTGATTTGATGAAGTAAAATTATGAAATTTGATATTTAATGTTGGAACGTGTATAATCGGTGCGTGAAATGTTGGGATAGAAGAGCATTGTTTCTCGATTTACTTGTGATTTCTCTTTGATTTAAAAAAATATCATCTTCGTGTAGTTAGAAAGTGTTGGCGCATCAAAATTGTAATTTTCGTATTTAACTCGTCGATACTTGAAACGTGGAAATAAAATACCATGGTTTCCCTTATTTTGTGAATAGATTCCTCCTTAAGTTAGTTTAAAACGTCATCTATATCTCATAAAAAAAAATTCAATATTTCTAGTGACAAATTTTTGAGTGCAAACGGCAAAGTGTTTCCAACGAAATACTTCCGAGTGCAAAGGATTAATATTCCTTTCCATGGGATTTACCATCGAGAATCGTTCCACTTCGTTGCGTTACAAATTCGAGTTACAAATTCAGAAAATTTCCGAATACTAATTACGGAAACATTGCGTTGAAATACGATCAACACGAGACGTTCCATCGTTCGATCACCGCTTTATCGTTCAAACAGCGAACGCCGTCCCCTACGCGAATGAAACGCTAATAACGTTCACATTAAATTATCAAGCAACAAATACGACACGATCAACATTAGCACACGAAACCGTAACGCAATGAATTAATACAATAATCACCCCCTCCGCCGATACCGTTCCGGAACGTTCCGGCGCGATCTTCCAGCCGCAGGCTAGATCACGAACGAATAATCCCGCGGCTTAATATCCGCGAGAGTTTTAATCGGCGGGCGTGTAGGTTAAACTTGATTTAAAAAATTTCACGGTGCGCGGGTGAACATTGTCGCGGCGTACCTTTTCGTTCTTTTGGCGTACTCCGCGGCCGCGCACCGGGCACGGTTCGAGGGTTAGGGTGCCCCGTACGCGCAGCCCGCGTAACTTGATTCATTGCGTTATTACAAGTTTTACGAGTTAATTAACGGAGATTTTTAGAGTAATATCGCGCGGCCGGGTACTTCGTTGAAGCGGCTCCTGTTATTACATCACGCTTTTACACATCCACGGCGTCGGAATTACCGCGGCTGACTCTGTAGCTATCGCGCTCGACCCATAATTAGTAAACTCGGTTAACGACATGACACGCCCGTTCGCTGACGCTATCGTTAGCGTCTCCCCACCTCCTCGTCTAACCCCTCGCTCCCTCGCCCCTCTCCTCTAACCTTCCTCTCTGTCTTTTTTCGCCGTTTTTCCCCCGTAAACTTCTTCGCACACCGTGACCGGCACGTACCAAGTGTGAAACGAGAAGTTACACGTGGCCGGCGGCGAGCGGGTTACGCTTTCCTTCGTCACGGATTGCCAATTAATAAACGCTCGGCAAAGTTCCCGGCGCCGGCGGGTTAACGAGTTTAAACGAGCCTCCGATTGCCACGCGATCCACCGTCCGCCGTCGATTCGTCGCGGCCGGCGTGCGACCGAAAAATCCTATTACTTTTTTGCCCGGTGTTTGCTCGACGGGCTCCGTGTTATCGGCGTTACCCGGCCGGGATACATCTTCATGAACGAATAAACTGAAATCGATGAGCGAAAGGATATACCGCGCAGCGTACCTGTGCGCCCGCTCGTCGAATCCACCGCGGAATCTACACCGCCGATAATTTCCTTCGGAACTGTGTGCTCACGCGAACTTCGCGGGAAAAGCGCGGAAACTTTCCGAGTATCTCATTTGCGGGGACCGAAAACATGGACGCCGCAACTAATCTCGACATCGCCGAGTGTAACGGGGTTAGTTCCTGCACGGGGAGAACAGATATTCCGCGAGTCGCCAGGTGATGATTGGGTAGTCGAATCTCCGGAGCGATGTCGACTGTTTTATCTTCTCCCATCGATTCTCCAGGCGATGGGATACAAACGATAATCGATAATTTCGAAGTAGAGCGCTCTACTTGCGCATCAATATCTCAACGTAGAAAGTTCTCCTAGAAGCTTTTGATTCATTTCGGCAAATTTTCTACTTCCCAGTTAACTGATGGTACCTTTTGTTCGCGAGCGCGTCCGCGATGATGTTAGTCATTGATTCTGTTTTCGACTTTGCGTTCCACGCTTGGACCCTACGACTTTTACAGTGATAGGGTAATAAGGTTGTTGAACTGGTTTGTTGAGTTTCACCAGAAAAATGTAATTTCACACTTAAAAGTACAATGTTGAAGTAATACAGTGATCCTAATTTCATCAACACAGAGATTGATTTTGGATGTTTCTACGTTTATTGTTGAGACTGGGTGGTTGTTGATTACGCGAGCGGTGTGTCCTACTGTCATTTTTGGGCGCGTAACACTTTCACCTGACACGGATTTATAAATCGGTCAAAGCCAATGGGTACAATAGCGAATCAATTGTAATAGAAAAATGCACATCGTTGTCAGTGCATCTTGGATTCCTAATAAATCCAGCAATAATGGCGAAACGTCGGGGAAACTTTCTCATCAGGCTTACAACTGGAAGCTTCGAAACAACAACATTCCGAACATCGAGAGCGTA